TGTTTTAGTGGTGATGAGAAACAAGCCAGAATACATGAAACTATTTTGCGTCTCAATCTCGTTCAGGCTAATTGTTCCCCAACAGAGGCTTTGTCATGTGTGAGACCATGAGGCACAAAATGTGTTGCCTGAGGCAGATTGATTGTTATACACGCCCACACATGCAAACACACACCTACGGTACAGTTCACATACATACATACACCTTTATTAGATTATTATTAGTTCACACAAACACACCCACCCACACACACACACACACACACACACACACACACACACACACACTCACTATGTCTGTTGCTCTCTCTGTCACACACCCTTCTCTTCGAAGTTGAGAGGCAGGCGTTGGTCTATAAAAGCTGCACCCAGTGGAAGTAGAGAAGGCAAAGCACAATCTCTATCTGTAGGGGACAAACACTAACACACACTTTTACACACGCAGATTAGAGCAGGACTCTTATACACAAAACAATCTCTTCCTGGGATATGAACCCACTCGTTCTCACCTGTCTCCTGTACTTAGGTAAGTGCTGACTTGTACTTGCATTCTGTGTGCGTTTGTGTGCAGAGCCTGTAAATCAGTGAAATGGAAAGAAGAGGAATGTTAAGTAGTATAAGGACAGAGGATGGGGGTGAGGAAGAAAGAAGTGTCTCTACAAGTGAGGAACTGTCAGGCAGGAAAGAAATATACAACTGTGTTACAGAAAAGAATTTTTAAGAAGTGCAGTGACTCTGGCTTTTAAAATGTAAATAGATCAAATCTTTAGCAAAACCTTTAACCAAAATCTTTTTTTCAACAGCAACAGATGCTGCAAAAGGTCAACATATTTCAAATACTTCATTAGACTTTGACTGAGTCTTACTCATCTTTGTTCTTTTCTGGTGCCAGTGTTTTCAAGCACAGTACCATTCTGAATGTGGACTGGTTGTGCTGGTTTCAGTACTAATTTTTCTGTCAATGTTGTGAGCCAGGGTTGTTCTTAATGTTGTAAGATGAATCGATGAGTCAGATATAATTTGGATAAGATCTCTGAATACAATGCCATTAGAAAGTAACTAAACAACCTTAGGTTGCCAATGTCCATAGAAGAATAAGGAAAAGTAAAGTTCCTGGATACTTGTAATTCATTTGATCCAGTTGCACTCATTATTCTTTATTTCTGTGTGTCATTTTGGTTTTACAGTAGTCTGCAGTGTTCCAGGTGCTCAGGGATCTGAGGCCACTTTCTCTGGTGAACTAGCAGGAGTGACTGGGAGTGTGGCCTCTGGGGACGGCCTCCAGAGTTCGCCAAGTGATGACGATGAACTGGAAATAGATGAAGAACTTTCAGGAGGGGACAATGAAAATTTCAAGCTCCATGGTACAACAACCAAAATAAGCCTTTTCTTGGTTGATCTTGATTTTTTATTCCGCTCTAAATGCTGGTTCAACTGGGTTGAAGCTCATATGTCACTGTTAATTGAATAATAAAATCTTTTCTTACTGCAGTAGTGTAGTGAAGAAAATGTATCCACTGTGCACTGTATCCAGTTGGCCAAAAAGTTGTTGGGAAATTATTTTCATACAGTTTCACTTACATTTTCTCCTGCTACAGATTTACATCCCATTCAAGATGAGAGTAAAAAAAGGAAGGGCAAAGGAAAGAGGAAAAACAGGCACAAGAGCAGAAGCACGACTCCGTTCAAACCGGAGCATGTGGTCTCCACCACAGGAAACACATCAACTCTCAGCACCACAGTGGATCCCTGCACCTCCACCCACCTGGGATACTGTATTCATGGTTACTGCAAGCACATAGAGGGGCTGCAAGAGCCAGTATGCATGTGAGTGCACTTTGTTCACTTTGTGCCTTAGTGAATATGAACTTTTAAACTCGACTGAAGCATCTTTATTTAAACCTCTTTCAAAAATCCAGGTAACACTTCAGTATCAGTCATATCAGTTCAGCATCTGATGTCTCCTTACTGGCTGTGCTGTTAATTCTCACTTTCCAGATGTTTGAAGGGTTACGATGGGGAGCGCTGTGGCATCCAAACTCTGGGGACAAGTAAAACCCAGAGCAACAATACTGACTTGGTGCAGACAGTGTTGGTGATTGTTGCTGTGGTCCTGTCAGTCATCAGCTGCATCGTCATCCTGCTCATGACCTGTGCTCAGTGAGTATGGAAGTGTCGCACAGCCACATACACAGAAACACATTAGGATTTTTAAAGGATAGAGCAATGTAGTGAGAACAATGCTGCAGGGGGAAGTCACTGAGGGATCCTTTGGTCAAACTGATTAAAATGGTAGCTACTAAACCCCACTTAAGCGGACAGCTAGCAGTGATAAGTACTGTAGTACACATGGTAAACTCAACATGTCTTAAATGTTGTGAGATCAAAAGGAAAAGAATGAGGTAAAAGGTTACCAGACAAGTCAAAAATATAAACAAATATAATACTGAAAATCAGTACATAATATTATTTAGAATATATTTAAAATGTAAAAAATGTAATGTTTGTACTTCTCCTGCAATCTCCAGTCAGTGGGGGGAAAGGCATATTATTTAAACCCCCCCTTTTGTTGATAAAATGTTTTTATTCTTTTACTGATTTTACTAGCATGAGAATGCTGCTTGCACTCTGGGGTAGAGGATCTATGGAGACTGAACTTAAAAATATTCAAACTTTTAACTCTCGCTGCTGTTTAGAGTCGGGATCCTAGTCCAAAAACCCCTGTTTTTATTGGATTAAAGTTAGGAATTAAAACACATAACACAGTGAATAGCAGATCACAATATACTGATTATCACTGCGAGCTGCTTCTCTCTTCTGTTGTGGTGTCACTTTTCACAAAAGAAGGAACTATAATGAGACAAGACCTGATGCTAGTGGCTTGGTACAAAATCCCTTTTATTCTTCTTTATTCTCTGACACTGTGAGAGCGCAGATTATTGAAGCTTTAAGAGAATACACATGAAGGCAACCGCCCACACCCTGACAAATCCCAACATAATACACATTACAATCCACACATCCTGCCTGCCCAGAAATATTTCTTGGCATCTAGACACACTGACACATCAAAAAGCACATAACACACCCATACGCACCCACACTATATGTATTGCTCACTACCTTCGCATGATGACTTCTCCAGATCTCCTATCTCATTCTTTAATTTTTTTGCAGACCAAGTAGGGAAATCTACAGTTTCATCACAAACTGTTACATCAGTGAATCCATGTATCAGTTGAAACTACCATTACTGTAATAATGCAATTCGTTTACTGTATAATTGCAGTTCCTTATCAATATGTAACCAAATCAAAACTACTATGTATGTGGGGCAAGGTTAAAAGTTCAAGAGAGCACAAATATAACCAGCAGAAGAGCACGCAAAGATTACAGCCACAATTACATACTGAACTGGGGAGGTAGAGAGAAACTAGAGCCTATTACTGTGAGAGCACTGATAGGTTCTGTAGAACAGCCGGGAAATCAGAGTGGTTATGTTCAAAATTGGCCATTTTAATAATTGATGCAAACTATAATCCATATAAATGACAATAATATAAATATAACAAAAGCACACCTTGAATTTTATTTGCAGTGTAACTGACTTCTGCCTTTTAAAATCATTTTACAGCAGTCATCTGATAATCACATGATCTATATGATGCTTTATGCTCATAATGAATGTCCTTTGTAGTTACAGGTCACATAAAACCTTATTGGCATCCTACCTGGAAACTGGGACAGAGCAAGAGAAGCTACAGAAACCCACCGCTGACGTCGCAGTGTGAGGGTGTAGAGTTACAATGAGGTGGGTGTCATGTCATTGAGCTTTTCGATCACACTCACACACTCCGTGAAGTCTACTCCTTTACAATGAAACCAGTACTCTAAAGTCAATTCAAGTCTGATGCCATACCTTTTGTAAACATCTCAGTACTGCCAAACATGAAAACATCAACTGACCGTTTGCTTAACTTCTCATTTTGAAGAAGTGTGCATGGGCTAACATGGCATGTATAAGGAACTTGGATGGTGGTTTATTTTTCTTTATATCATCTCAAAAAAAAAAATCAAGCACAAAGTCTAAGTATTGAACAGTGTTTTTGCAAATGCTACTGTCCATGCACCAGCACAGAGGGACCTGGTTCCAGATAAGATGATGTAGTTTTACCAAGATCTGTTGGATGCTTTTTCCTCAGTGTATATATATATATATATATAAACAAACATCATCCTGTGACACAGCTAGTACATGTCTGTTTATGCCAGTGAAATTGGTGAAGTGTATATATTTATATTTATCATGAATTCTTCACTGCTTCTGACACAAAGGATCATGTGGTGTGGGAGTAGTGTGGGTGTGTCCACTAATAAAGCTGAAAAAGGAAAACATTACTTCCTTACATTTCTCCAGTTTCACTGGGGTACACAGACGCATGTTGGCGCCAAGCTGATTCTGTGTTAATGCCATTTGTGCAAGCAATATTGTGATGCTGTAAGAAGGGCATGTAACGAGGTGCTCCTGTATTTCCAGTGGAGGATATTTTGGTGACATAATTCTTCCAAAAGTCTTGCTTAAGCCCTCTGAGGGTGGTTTCTGGCCTCTGCTGACGTGACCCTTAAGCCAAACAGAAGAGTGGGCTCAGAATTTAACTGAGGAGTCTGTCATTGTTATTGAGTACAGCAAGTTGTACCATGCCAAGAGGAATCCCCACTAGATGAGTTAACTTAGATTACTTGGGAGTGTCTCGACTTGTCCCATGTTAGCACTTCATACCAGCGTAAAGAAAAACCACACGCTTGATCGTACACATTCACCTGTGTGTCCAAACAATAACAGTACTGACACACTGACTACATGTAATGACCTTGCTGTAAGAGCCTGATTACTACACTTTCCTGTGGTCAGATCTCACTGAGCACAACACACGTGCACACATGTAGATGTCACGTGTTTAGACATGCAGACATTTAGCTTGAGACAAACAATGTGCCCTTGCAGCATTCTCCTCATAGCCTTTGTGTCACTCACTGTCTACCCTTAGAAAAGAAGGTCTGGCACACAAAGTCTTTTATAACTTCAAAACCTCAAGACTAAATAACTGTAAAACTTAACTTCCAAGAACATTATCTTTTATTAGTGTCTTAAAATTCTGAATGGATACTTTCATGGCCTAAACAAGTTGTCTGTGCAGTTGTAAATGAACTCTTGCATGGCTGTTCTCTAAGAAAATAGTTTTTGTTGTTTCTGTGGTGAAATATTTGTTGACCTGAGATTTCTCTCTATCTTTCAGACAAAGCAGATCGGAGGAATCCGAGGACTTGAGCTGGAAGTAGAGATAAAACTGCTTCATTAGATGCTGTGTTAAAAGAAACACTATGCAGAACTTGTTAGAATGTAATTTATTTAGTGCGATTATTTATTGCTAAGGACTATATAACTGTTTTTATGTTGGACTATTGTTATGATATTGTGTGCGAATGCTGAGCATTCAGTTCTTTAATGTTCTGTTGGTTCGGTTTTATATATTGCACTTATGTTATTATAGGTCAGAGAAACACCCTTCATCTCACGCTGGAAAAGAGATTGAATTTGATCACCAATAAAGTGTTTCAGTGTTATGTGAATGTGTTATTTGTTCATGTGTCTCTGACTGAGTTTGCTGTTTGCATTCCCACCTCCGGATGCATCCCGTTCCTCAGCAGCCTGCTCATACAAACTCAGATTCAGCAGACAAGAATAATCCTGAGAGAAGCTCTCAAACAACCTTGTGACATCACTCAGGATTTTAGAGAATCATGAGAGAATCTGTGTGACAAGCTGCACCACCACTTCAGTGCTTTAGTCTTGAAAATTATTCCAAACTTTTTTTTTGGAAGCAAAACAAACTGTACACTGACATAAACCCGGCTCACAAACAAACAGTGTTGCTATGGCGCTGCAGTGTTTCCAACAACGGGGTGACGTCCAAAGCTTTGTGAATGGGTAGACAACATACTGCTGTGCAGGTGGACTGCGAAAAGCAGAGGGGGCGTGTCTAGTCTGAACTATTTTGACAATGTCCAGGTAACTTGAAGTTCTCTCATAACACAAGTGCAAACAAAACCTTGAATGTAATTAGATGGTTCAGGACAAAGGAGCCTAGAATAGACTGTGCACAAAATCATCATCACAATTTCACAGGTTAGTTAGAAAAATTTTTTTGTTGTGCTATGCATAATGACAATAAAGACAAAGTGCAATGTGCAAATGGGGAGACATTATTTCATAAAAAGCAAGAAAAAGAAAAATGTGGCAGAAACTTTGTCATGATGACAAGAAGAAGAAAAACTACATGTCAAGATTACTGTTGAGCTTTAACTAAATAATTATTACCCAAAGAAAGGTGTCACTGAACTATGGCTTTTGATTCATGGACATTACTTATGAAGTCTGCAGTTCGTATTGTGTACGTTAACACAAATACAAATATCAGAACCTCTTTATTGGCCAAGCATGATTAAACACACAATTTGACTTTGGTAAGGAGGCTCTCAGTGTGCTTTGTAAGGCAACAATAAAATAAAATAAAACTGTGTGACCTATTAGGAAAAATGTGCAATCAGTTGGAGAAAGAATGGGAGAAGTAGAGACATGATCTATTTATAAATAGAGACCCACATTAGGCAGAAAAGCTTCTTGGGCAAACGGTCAATCAGTACCATACTTACTGATATACCATACTGATATACACAGTAGTTATATTTACAGTTTATTGCTCTGTGGTGATTACTGTCTCCAGTAATACAGTCACAGGTTAACTGTTCATCCGGGTGATGACCCGAGGGAAGAAACTGTCCTTGTGTCTGGTTGTTGTGGTGCACAGTGTAGGGGCGTCCAGACAAGAGGAGTTCAAACAATTTGTGTCCAGGGTGTGTAAATACTACTCTAATCACTAGCCAGTTTGATTAACTTACAACAGAAGGACTGAAAACAGTTGGCTCTGTTGAAGAGTAGTCAGTTCACAGTATGCATGCACATTTTACTTCTCCAGGTGCTGAGTAAAAAAAAAAAAAAAACAATCTTTAGGTTCTACAAAGCATCACGACTCTGTTAAAAATTAAGCCTTTATTACATGAAAACCATAACATTTCAAAGTCAACTAGCTCTTCTTCAGGTACTGAGGCATCAAACTGACTCAGGTGTGTCATTGTAACCTGCCTCCCTGTTTATTGTGATTGTTTGATGTGTTCTGTTTTCGAGGGCGGGACTCCAGGTCTCAGTCATGTCAGGGGACACACCCGGGCCCAGTGTGTTCCCTGCCTATTTAGGCCCAGAGCGGCTGTCTTTTATGTTTTCCTTTTTTGTTACAGCACAACACTCATGCAGAATACTGCCACCCATCCACTCCCTACACTAACTGCCTTACAGACTTTTCCCTGCATATCTAATTTGGACTATCAGTTGGTTTTGTGTTTGCAGAAATAAAGTGTTTATTGGCATGTTTCTTGCATTTTTCAGTCTTATTTGTCATAACCTAAGACTGTGGCAAGAATGGGTGGCACAACATACAAGAAACATGCCAATTAATAATAATTTAGGCACTATTAATAGGAAGATCAGTGATGTGCAATGTACAAAAAATTGACAATCATCATCTGATAACATTACTATTTATAACTAGATTTGTTGGGTAGTATGCATATTGCTTCTTTGGGATATTTTAAGATGTTTTTGTAATTTGCCATTTTGACAGATGGCTGTTGGTTGTCGGTATGAAGCCACATGTACAACAGAGACCTGTTTATTTTTTTTTTAATCTCTGACACAGATATAACTATATAGATAGATAGATAGATAGATACATAGACAGACACTTTATTGAACCTGAGGGAAATTCAGGTGAATGTTCAGTCAATTTGATGCCTCTGTACCTGAAGAAGAGCCATCTGAGCTTGAAATGTTGTATTATTCAGCACATAATAAAAACATTTTCTGAAGGGAGCAGTTAATAGAGTTGTGAAACTAGTCTGTTGAAAGGTAGCAGCAGCCTTAATGCTCACTATTTAGGGCATTTTATCTTGTTTGTTTCAGTCATTGCAAAAATGGAAGAGTAAAAACTATAAATTTCTGTATGAGATAGGAACTAGTACATTTTAGAGGTGCTAGTAGGAAAAATTAAATTCCTTTGGTCTGAGCCAGACTAGCTGTTCCCACTGTTTGCTGATGTAGCTAAGCTATGATAACAGCATCTAGCTGAAGCCTTACATTGATATTGAACAGATGTGAGTGATATCAATGTTATTGTTTGAACTCTCCAACAAAAAGTGTATTTCGCCAAATATTAAACAATTCCTTGAGAAATCTGGACCTTTTCTTTAAGTCTTTATCTGAACACAAGCTTTTATTTGGGCCAGTACCATGAAAGAGGTATCAGCCCTCAGACATATACAGACTCTGACTCACCTGCAGGATACAACAGCTTCCAGCTACCTTTATAAAACAAGGTTTCACATTGTGTTTGTGTGTGTGCCATTGCGTCACTAGTGAGGGAAAGGTGAGGCAAGGTGGGCAGCTCATCCTGCTCATACATGTGATGCAAGTCCAGGTAAACATTTACTCTTGTGCACACATGTGTGTGTGTGAGACACAAAATCTTTATGGCGGAAATGGCTATTTAAACACACACACATTCATAAACATTCATGCATTCATCCATTTGACAAAATAAGTTTATATGGGTGTGGTGAGCACTAATAATTTCAGTGGCACTGAAGTGGGACGGTGAGCGTTTGTGAGTGACCATAGAAACAGAGTAAACACAAGGGCAGATGGCTGGTCAGTGATAATTCACTTAGAGCACAAATAAAGGGCATGTTGGAATTTCCAGGGTGCGGTAACATTTTTTGTTCCTTCACCCTTACAAGGAAGCAGGTCAACTGTTGAGATAGGTGGATTTTGTTATTTTCCTTAGTTTTAAGTTGGATTCACAGATTTACGCTTCCCTAAACTTTTCCTGTGGTTTACATGAGGATTACTGATTGGACGTACCAGGCACAGGCCGAGGGGTCAAACAAGTTTGGGGTTCCCTGGACCAAAGCCAGGGAATATTATGAAGTGTTAATATTTCTTCTTGGAAAGTCAATCAAACAGCTACATAGGGACACAAAACAGTCTCAGGGAGGCTCACACAGAACACAAGGAGACACAAAACGAAAACTAACAGGTTGTGTTTTCCAGTCTGGCTGTTTTGCCCCTGTATGGGAGTGATGGATGGTCTCATAATCCATATGTTTACACAAGATGTGGGGAAGATAAATATGGGACTATGGTTTCATTTTTAAAGATTAGATGTCACCTAGATTTTTAGATTAGGGTTTACAAGTTGCTTTTTTTTGCTAAAAAAGTAGTTGACCTATGTAGAGCAGTTTTTAGAAAATATGCGCAGGGTCCTAATAAAAGGTCACCAGATAAGTCTGAAGTGTTGCAAGATCAAAAAACATATTTGATAAATTTGGTCACTGTTGGAGTGGCATGGTGGAGCAGTGATTAGTGCTGTCACCTCACAGCAAGAAGGTTCTGGGTTTGAACCTGGGCCAACTCAGGGCTTTTCTGTGTGGAGTTTGCATGTTCTCCGTGTGCCCATGTGAGTTCTCTCCGGTTACTTTGGCTTCCTCCCACAGCCCAAAGACATGCAGCTTAGATTGATCTGCGATTTTATATGTGAATCCTATATCATACTGTCACAACAGCCAACGAGAATCTAAGTGAGGAAACAATAAACATTAGCATTTTTCTATTTACTGTATATGTTTCTTATTAAAGTTGCTGTACTCTTATGTTGATTTGAGTGAAATGGTCTTGACTGCCAGCTGACTGATATCTTCTTTCTGTAAGTGACTTTCCCACTAACTACAGCAGAGAGCACCACCTAGAGTTGTAGTATAAAAACTGAGTGTCGGTGTTACATTACAGTAGAACAAAGGTCATAAACACTGGCTGCGTAAATATAATTTGTAGGCTAAGAAACAAGACATAGTCTGCTCACAGGAATGTTTCAGGTTCATGGAGACAAAGAAATTGTGAATAATTCCTACAAAAATGTTACTGTGACAATTTTACTGGTACTGACAAACACCATTAATGTCCCTCATTGTTTGATTAAAGGTGCTTATGCAGCTATGTGACATTTTGCACATTTCCTGTCATGCAAGAATTTTTCATCAAATACAGCTAACCTAAAGAAAGAAAACAAACTATTCTGTTTTTAATTTGAACCCAGATCTCACACAATCTGAAAAGAGAAGTGAAACACACACTTGTTATGTCATACAGATGTAAAATTAGGAGCTACTGTGATGAGAGTGCATTTGAAAGAGACAACATCAGCATCAGAATGAGAATCAACTTTACTGGCCAAATATCAGCACAATATCAGTATATTAGAACAAATATCAAAAGAAAGCTATAAGAAAGAGAGAAACACCTTCTATATTTCTGTCTTTGCCTTTAAGATGTTAGAAAATGTTTTCAAGCAGTAAGGACACAGAGAGAAAGCTTCATTCAGTCCTAAACTTTCAATTCAAGATGTGGTGGCTCATTGGTTTAGCTTAAAAAAAAAACAAACCGGTGGCTCATTGGTTTAGCTTAAAAAAACCCTTTTGCCTGTTTATTATATTTCAGACTTCTTCATTGTTGTTTTGATCCACTTGAGTTGTTTTTCTGAGAGGAAAGAATAGACCCCAGGCTTTTTTATCTGGCCACACTTATGTCCAAAAGAAGTGACTCCAACTAGCACGCCACTGCACAACAGCGGTCCTCCTGAATCACCCTACAGAGAGAAGAAAAGTGTACAGGTAGGTATAGGTGTTGATGGGAAGCAGGGCAGCCTGAAAAATCAAAAGAAAAGTCTTACTTACCTGACAGGTATCAGTGTGGTGTTTCCCATCTGAGCCCGCGCATAACATGCTGCTGGTGATAACAGGTCTGTGGTTGTAATAATCAGGAGCATTGCACTTCTTTCTGTCGATCACGGTGACATTTACAGACCTCAGGACGTTTGACATTTGCTTGGCACCATTCTTTGTTGTCCCCCATCCAGCCACCAGACAGGTGCTGCCAGCTGTTGGTTCTTTGACCGTGTTACCCAGCTCAAGCCAGTTCACCGTCTTGGATCTCTTCACTGGTTTATCAAGCTGAAATTTTGAAAAAAGAAACATTAATTATTGACACTGACTGTTACCTTTGCCTAATGGCTTCATGGGTGGGCTTAAAATTTGTGTTAATACTTTTTCACACAGAAAACTGGAACATGATCACCTTATCTGTATCCTGAAACTTTGGGATCACTGTTTGTGTCATTTATTGTTTGAGTAGCATAAGGAAGATTTAATTTAAGTTTTTGTCATTAGCCTGTTACTACTTGAAAATCTTTCCACCTTGAGTACAGAAAGTGCACAACATGGACAGAGCTCAGTGAGCGGCTTAAAGGAGAAAGATTTTAAAATCAATATGCTGCACTGGAAACAAAACCATGAGAATTATATGGCCTGTCTTTGTGCTGCTGCATTTTGCAGCCAGGACAAGAAGGAGCAAACATGTTGGACATTATAGTATAATGTTTAAATTCGAAGAAAAGATAAGAAGATAAGAAGCTGAGTTGCCTAACTTTGCATTAGCAGGTTTTTGATTTGGACCAAATTTGCAAATGTGTCTGTCTCAAGCTCAAGAATTAAATACTGATGTCAAATATTTTATTTTCACTCATTTTGAACTATATAACTGTCCTAGGCAGATTGAGCCTAGTGGTGATAGAGAATTATCACCTTACCTTGAGCAACATCAGGTCATTGACTTTATCTTTTTCATCATAGTAGGGGTGAATAACTTGTTTCTTGACCTTTCGAACTGTTCTGGACTCAGTTTCCTTTTCTTTGATGGAGTGCACCCCCAGCAACACTTTCTTAATGCTGCAAGAGCAAAAACACAGCAGTATTAGATTACAGTTCACATGCACTAATGGTTAATGTGCTAGCAGCACATAAACTAATGATAAAATGATGACAGGTACAGCTCTGTTTCCAAGTGTTGACAGTGAGTACTAATAGTGTTCAATGCAAATGCAACAACTCCTGTGGTAGTTGGGGAAGTCTAAAACTGACTCTCCTGTAGGTTGATATACTTTACTGTACTGTACGTTACTGTACAAAGTATACTATGCTTTGTCTTCCTTTGCTTTTAGCAACAAAATGTGAAAAGTTGAACTTTACAGATGTAGCTCACAAGCTACTTTTTATTTTTACTGTATATTTCTCTGCACATTCTGCTGTGCAAATGAAACCAGGATTGGCCAAAGTGCAGACACAAATGTTACAAGGCTGAAGAGCATATACTATCTGTGGTGTCTTTTCTGGTTTCCTGAAGTGAGTGACATTTTGCTTGATGCCCAGTGCCTGTCTATTATGCTCTTTATGTGTCATTTAGCTCTAGAATACACTTTGCTAAAGTAAATCTTGGTAATCTTGTTAGCGTATGAACATTGTTTGGTTGTTTGTTTATTAATCAGATTTGGCTCCAGGGAACTACTACTGCAAAACACAAATAAGTCTTTTCAGATGTGAGCAAAGTGGTCTCACCTACACATGTAAATGGTCTTATGCTTATATAGCACTTTTCTATGCTTTGATGTGCACTCAAAGTGCTTTACACTATTTCGCATTCACACACACAAATGCTCACACTGGTGTCATCTAAGGCCTCAGCATTTGATCTGGGGAAGACCGGGATTAGAAAACAGCCTGCTCTACGTACTGAGCCACAACCGCACAACATATGTCTTGTGTTCTCGATTATTAAAATGATAAAAAGTTCAAATATTCAATACCATTTCCTAGAAATTGTCTCTATAAGCCTACAGCTAATTTACAACAGCGAATATATTTTTAAGATAAGGTAACACTGATTGGATTATGTTTTCTGTTATAAGGAAATGTTAATGAATATATCTGGAAAACTACAAATATGTTGTTACAGAACATATCAGTAAAATGTTCCACTGACAGGGAATTTCTTTTTTTGCTGAAATTTCCACAGTGGGCGGCTGTCAAGACCCATGATTGACTGATCAGTATCCCTCCGCAAAATGGTTCGTTGTTCTCCAGTAGAGCCATGAAAGGCAGTGAATGGGGCGTCACTTCCTTCCCACCAATAATCTCCGAGCCATGACCTAATAAAAAAATATTCAAAAAATTTATTTAACAAAAAAAGCCAGATATCACCAAAGAAATGTTAGGGTGAATTTTATTTTACGCACTTATGAATAGGATTTGTTAAGGTTTTTATTTTATAGCACACATAAGTTTGCATACTTATATGTCACAGTTATGTTTACATATCACCCTATGTGTTCACTGAACCACTGGTCAATATTTACTGTGTTAGTCACTGAAGCACTGTTCAACATTATGGGGTCTTGTTCACTAAATCACTGAATCTCATTAGATTTACAACAAGAGAGTCCAGAGTGAATTTATTATCGCCACCTGGCTAATGGAATCAGGGGGTGTGTAGTCTTTTCTGTTTTTCCTAAACAGTAAAGATCCATGTGCACATGCTTATTTTGATACATTAATGCATAATAAACTGTAAAATGTCCTTCTCAAGTAACAGAACATGGCTCACAGAAATCATAACACTCTGCCTTGGCTGCATTAGTTTGCATTCTGCATGTTTAAATGAATCACGTCATGAATTAAGTAATTAAGTAAAATTATTACTCACTTGACTGGACAATCAGGAGGATACAAGAGATGAAAAGAGTGAAAAACCTCAGGCAGAACATTTCTGTCTTTGATATGATGGTGATGCACTGAAGCCCACCTCAATGTGCATGCTCGCTTTTATGTCTCAAGTGCAAAGGATGTGGTCCGACTGTGAAAATGCATGAGTCAGCAACAGGAACATGCAGTCAAGCATGAGATGAGAATTGATGTGTATGTCATCTTCATTTAGAAGCCTTTGGTATCTGTTTCTGTCATTTACCAGTTATCATAAGCATCTTATCCACAAGCTGTGCGGTGGGCTCTTTATGCGAAGAAGCTCACACCACAAGAGTGCAGACGTCAGGAAGGGTGGGCTTACCATGAAACAGCTAAACCTAACATCACTGGTGGCCTTTTCAGCTGCACTTACTGTATGAGTGTCTTTATTAATGCCACGCATCATCATAATTCAGAGGAAAGCAAGACAGCTGGAGAAAATTAAATTAGTCTGGTTGAGATCAGAATTTTTTTTTCTGGAAGAACTGGGTACTATATTTTATATTAACTTGAATCAACATAACCTAATTAAATGATTGTTTCTACAGTATTTTGGCTATCGCTACAGTAAAAGTTACACATCATCACATATATACAGTTGCAGACTTTTCCAACAAAGAAGTAGGTACCGCTTTATTTAACAGGCTGCGACTTACAGCATACTGTAGTGGGATAAGTCTGTCGGTGGCACAAATTAAATCACAGACAAATAACTACAATTCCAATGAACATTCATTGTTGTACTTATCAATAATAAACTGGGTAGAGAGTCACCTTTTCTCTGTAGAGAAGTTTGTGCATGAAAGCAGCCAGAAATGGAAATAGACGAAGACTGTCTCCCTCTCTGCTTGCTTGCTCCTTTCTTGCTCCTGATACAGCCTCACACTAGCTCTTATCTACTCTACAGCTTCATTACTTCATCCTATTTTCAGGAAATGTTCCTTGAAATGTTTATGCCAAAATCTCAGTTTCCCATCAATGCTTGAGTTCCTCTTTTGAGAGAATTGTTTGTTAAGCAAGCTGACTGTAACACAAAATTTAGATATGAAATTGAGGATGTTACTGCCTACAGGCACTGTTCAACATTATGGGGTCTTGTTCACTAAGGGCAGAGATTGTATGAACAAGACAAACATCTTAACTCACACTGTGACCTTTAACTATTCACTAATACACATGTAATATATATATATATATATATGTACACAGTATACACTCCTATTGTATTGCATATTAACTATATACTCATTTAAACACTAAAGTACATAGCCCACGTTGTGCAGGCAGGGAGCTTTTTGATGTTTGAGCAGAGCTGTTTCCTTTTGGTTCCAGTCTTCATGCAACGTTAATTAGCTGCTGGCTGTAGCTTCACATTTATAATACAGACACTCGCTCCCTTAAAGCAAAGTGTGTTTCTCAAAATTTTTTTTTTGTGGCTTTAATTTTCTTCATATAATCAAAAAGTCAGAATTTTAACTATTGCACAGTATTTATTTATTCATATGACTCTTAGTTACAGTACATGAGCAGCCACCAAAGACAGTAACAATATGCTGATAGTACAGTTTCACTGTACTCCAAATGTTTTATATCCTGTGGTCACATTTGTTATAAAACATGAACATCACACCTGTGTTTTATTTCATTTAAAATCTGAATACTGTAAATTTTATTTTAAGTAGGTAAAGGTAAGCACAGCAATATCCCCAGAAATCTGGCAACAACTGACACCATCTACTAAAAATGATATCAAACAAATAGCTAAAATAAATAAAGAAATCAAATAATAAGAAAATAGACACAAAAAAACTTAGAAAAGTGCAAAAATAAAAATAAGACACCTTTGTTGCTTTCATATGACCAATACTACCAGACTTTCGGTGCAACATTCACAATAATATTTCCCATTCACCCTTGATTTGATGGTTTCTTTTTTCATATATACTGCAGTTTCACTGAAATAATGTTTTAGTCAAGATCTGGATCACATTTTCTCTTTCTCTTTCTTTCTGTTTTTACATCTGGTCTGTGACACTAGATGAAATTGAAGCTTTTTAGCTTAATCTTGAATTTTAAAGGCTCACAGAACAAATCATGTTTCCCAGCTTGATGCAAACCTAGATCAATCCAACCAGCCATGTGTAGACTGTGGATCCTTTACTCAATTGTTCTGGGTTAAGACATTAGAATATGATAGAGATGATATGACACATTATCTCCAAAATGATAAATTGAAGAAGGTTCAGTAATTAATAGCTGTTCATTAATATGACACAAAAATGTTCATATGCCACATCTCCAGTGGCCTTGATACCTGTAGTGTGTTTACAGCTATGTTCAAAATCAGTGCTAACTATGTTTCTGTAGGACAGAAAGGCTCTGACTGTGAAGCAGCTGTGGGGTAGCTGTGTTACATTTGTGTTAAGATTACTACTCTTAAAAAAATCCACCACAAAACTACAGGACGTTGAACGCAGCAGCATTTTTTGGTGCCTGTCTGTCACTTTAGTTGATGAACAGCAACATCGTGCTTATACTGTCATGGTTTGTGCAAAAGTGGGGATAAATGAAAGAGGGAAGCAAATGATCTATAAGCAGTGGTCCCCAACCTTTTTATCACCGCGGACCGGGGGGGGTATTGTACGTACATTGTTTATATTGTAAATATAATATATTGTAAATATAATATTAAACGTGAATCCACTGTGTACTCGTATGCAACTTTATTTGCAGCTTCCTCGTGACATTGCGCCAACTACATAACATGAGTATAACATCAAATTCTCTAGTAACATCCTCTCTGCCCCCTAAATAAATTATAAAAAAATTCACGTGGAAAAATAAATAAATGACAAGAACCAGCAATTCCACATTTCTTTCTCTATTATCTAAATATACCCACACAACATTTTTATTTTTTTTAGGAGAGTATTATAATATTAAACACTCCATGAATGTTATTTTTCAACAGCTGAAATAAAGTTGCCAGTTTGAACCGTCAGATAAGGCTCCTGCATGTTTGTGTGCCCGCTAAGACTCACAA